AGGAAGGTCAAGGAAAGCATACTCATGACTGAGTTCTTGGTTTGGAAGATAGTTCTCCTCTTGCCCAGCCTCATGGTTCCACCCATTTGACCTGGATTGTGTTCCGGCATGTCAATTACCTGAGAAGTCCAAGAGAATGATATGAGGGAGAAGAAGTTAAGACAACTAAAGACGTTAAGCAAGTATGCAGGGAAAAACAAAATATGTAAGTTGGTTCATTTGCACGGGTTTAGTAGCATCTAAAAAGAAAATTGATGGTTTCTGAAATTGGTAATCCATCAGAAGGGCTTAAACCCCCCATTCTAACTGCCAATACAGCTCATGTCTATCATGAGTTTTAGAGTGTATTCACACGAGTCCATAATGTGTAACATTATATGCATATGTAACTTAAACACACATATACAAACATGCAAAAGTTTACTTTTAAGGTATCTACAACACTCTTGAATAGAAAGACTGTTCTGACCGAGGCTTCCCAAGAGCATGAAGCAAACTCCTTGCCCCAACAAAACCCCTTTCATTAATTTGCTGTGAATTCTGCTCATTCACCTCCAGCAAATTCTTTTGAGGGAGGATTTATGGTCAGAGACCTTCTCTGGCTTGGAGAGCTGCCAGGCCGATATCTGCAAAACTTGGCAAAGAGTCACGAACCAATTAAGCAAACTAATTGTCTCCTGCAAACTCCACTCCCCTTTCGCTCCTCTTTTATTTCCTCTGGGAGGGGCCCTTCATCATCCACCTGTGGCCTTGCTCTCAAGTCAACCCCTGCTCTTTAGCTGTTCCCTTTGTCTGGTAACTCTCCACATGGGCACACTGGGAACAGGCTCCGGCTGTTCATCTGCCTCACTGATGTCTGACTCTGAAGACAGCTGATAACTGCCAGTTGGCTGTGGCCGCCTCTCTGCCTCCGACACACGAGCCCTCATCAGAGCCTTCCCCAGACTCCAGGACTGGCCCATGTCCCTCCCCAACCTCCTCACTGTCCAAATCTGCTGCCAATTCTGCTGGCCACTGGGGGGCCACAGCAAAGTCAAGTAAATGTAACACACATCCTATTTGGTCAAATTGAGAGATTCACTGGCTCTAAATAAAATAAAATATGGACTTTCATATCTACAAAAAAAAGGGGGGGAGAGCAACTCTCAGACACCTAACTTCAAATATGAGACAAAATTTTAACAGAAGTTCATCAATCATAACACTATAGGGAAGTCTAATTATTCTCATCATAATTCATTCTAATCAGGGCATTTTTTTTACATTTCCTTTCAAAATAATTGTTGTGAGAAGGGAGGGAGGGAGGGAACAAATGTTCTTGGTACACATGAAAAGAAACCACAATGGATTTTAAAAAGTATCATCACACTTACTACTGGGTGTGTAGTTTTGGGGTCAAATTCGGTAGAGTTGGCATCTGTGGACGATAAGGCTTTGATCACATAAGAAAAAAAATCTACATTTTCAGTGGAAAGCAGCTTTTCCATTAATTAGCATGAAAGGCAATGTAACCCAAGACTCAGAGCAAACGATTCACATATACTGGTCAATGCTATCCTACCCAAATCATTAACATACCATGTTGTATATTTTAATAATCCACTACTTAAGTTTGAACATTGTAAATAGGTGCTTTCTTATTAAGACCTCTACACTTAGGCTACTAAACAAGGCAAGAAAAACATGGAGATTTGTGTTTTGTATTGTGGACAGTTTAGAGAATTAAAAGCTCATTCCTTTAGAAACTCTTGTGAAAACTGGGTAAAGTGAAACAGGTACAATTACCTTAAGTATAAAAAGCTTTATTGAGATTTAAATGTTCCCAGCGTATTGCTACCCTACAACAATTATATCACAAGCGATTTTAAGGGTTAACATTCTGAAAGACAGACCCAAATGTTTATCTTCCCACGCCTTTACCTTGCCAGCCAAGGATGTTGCGGGCAAACTCCACAACAGCTAACTGCATTCCCAGACAGACTCCTGTAGAAAACAGAGCAAGGAGATATATTTTAAAAAAATATGCACTGGTATTCTCAAATACCCAGCAGAATTCCTATTACCCTTCTTTATTAGACTTTACATAAGCAGCTGGAGATCGGGTACAGGATAATTTATGGCCTTACAATAATGCATCAGTCTGGCCACACATGATTTCAAAGAAATCAGATAGGTTTCTTGGGATAATACTGAAGAATATTTCTTTATCATGTCAAGCAAGCTGATACAGAAAGGACCATTTCAATTCTGGTTCACGTACAAAGCAATTAGTTGAATTTTATTTATCTTATTGATTGATTGATTGGTTGGTTGACTGATGATTGATTGGATTAACTTTGGAGGCCACCCAACAGTTTATGCTGTAATAAAGAACTATGAGAAAAAGATCATGAGCTGTGGTGGCGCAGTGGTTAGAATGCAGTACTGCAGGCTACTTCTGCTGACTGCCGGCTTGACTGCAATTTGGCTGCTCGAATCTCACCAGGCTCAAGGTTGATTCCTTCCTTCAGAGGTCAGTAAAATGAGGACCCAGATTGTTGGGGGCAATGGGCTGACTCTGTAAAACGCTTAGAGGGGGCTGGAAAGCACTATGAAGTGCTGTTGCTAAGTGCTATGTATGGGCAAGAGGAAACAAACATCAACACGCTGAAGAAAATTCAACGGACTCAGCAATCACTCTATCCCCAGGCCTGGGAACAAAGCCAAGTCTTTAAAGACTTTGGGAACATCACAAGGGTGGGTCACATGAACCTCTGCAGAGATGCTCTTCCAGAGGGCATGTGCCTTGACACATCCTTCTTGGCTCTCAAGAGATGACATTGATTAATTGAAAGACTCTGGAGGGCACCCATCCTACTGGTTCTACTGGACAGGTAGAAATGGTTGGACACAGAGATCAAAGAATAGGCCCAATGCCTTGTAAACTAAAGTTCTGCTACATCTTTCTCCATACAAAAAAACCCCAAACATTCAAGCATATTTTCTCACCTAGGAAAGGTTTCTTCTGCTTTCTTGCCCAAGAAATGGCTTGGATTTTTCCTTCCGTGCCTCGAACACCAAAACCACCTGGAACCAAGACTCCGCTAAACAAAGGAGGAAGCCTGTTGGATAAACCTGAGCACTCACTTCACCTTTTGCATTATATTTATCCTCTGAAAATGAACTGGATTCACACAGTAAAATACACACCACAATGCACTCCGCCTAGTCTGAACCAAGGAGGCTTAGTGAAAACAATCCCAGTCGTTTTGTTTATAAAGCACAGCCATGGTGCTTTACTTAACAACCTTAGTGGAAACCACCATGATTTAGCCCAGCGTTAATCCAGCAAGAATTTCTCCAGATTGTTGTTTGTGCAAATAGTATCACCGCCAACATGAGACAATAAATGCGGAAACACCGCTCAAAATAATGGGGTGTTTTTGCAACATCAGTCACAAGCAAGAATGAAGATGTTTCAGCCAAGCAGGGATTTGCAGCTGAAATTTGACAGAGGTGCGTATCATAGTAACACCCCTCTACTGAATGCTGATTGTCCAGAGTTCAATCTCTAGAAACCTCTAGGAAAGCTACTAAGAGCCATGGTGGCACAGTGGTTAGAATGCAGTATTGCAGGCTACTTCTGCTGCCTGCTTGCCTGCCAGCAGTTTGGCAGTTCGGGTCTCACCAGCTCAAGGCTGACTCAGCCTTCCATCCTTCCGAGGTTGGTAAAATGAGGACCCGGATTGTTGGGGGCAATGGGCTGACTCTGCAAACTGCTTAGAGAAGGCTGTAAAAGCTCTGTGAAGCGGTGTATAAGTCTAAGTGCTATTGCTATTGCTACTTGAGCTTTAGAGAGCCCCTGACACCCATATCAATAGCTCTGGGGCAGAGGTGGGTTCCTACCAGTTCGCTAGAACCAGTTCGTCAAATCTACCGAACCAGTTAGAATAGAAGAGGTTCCACCAGTGGACCCAGAAAGCAGGTCACACCTACAGAAGAGGTTCCAAAAAATTTTGAAACTCACCACTGACAGACAGACAGACAGACAGACACACACACAGACTCACAGAGAAAGAGAAATAAAGAAAGAAAGAGTGAGAGATGAAAGAAAAAAAAGAAAGAGAGAGAGAGAGAGAGACAGTGAACACATGGTCGGCAAGCCACTCCCATCAGGTCACATGGCCGGCAAGCCACTCCTACAAAGGAGGCCACACCCACAGAATAGGTTCGGAAATTTTTTGAAACCCACCACTGCTCGGGGGGATCCCATTTGTTCATTCTGTGGCACCATCATATAATCATCACCCAGAGGCAATCTGCAGTATGTGGTTTGTGGACAAGGAACTTCTACATGGCATTTATTTATAATGATATTTATAAACAAAACAAAAAAGCAGTTAAAGGAACTTGCTACGTTTAGCCTAAAGAAGAGAAGGGAGCTATGATAACGGCATTCCAAAACATGAAGGGCTGTCACAAGGAAGAGGGTGTTGGATTTATTATCCAGAGTATCCGAGGATAAAACAAGAAGCCATGGGTGGAATTTTAATTGTGAGAGAGCCAAATAAGGAGGGATTTCCTGACCGAAGGAGCTAAGAAGCCGTGAAACAGCCTGCCTCATGAAGTTGTGGGTCCTCCACCCACTAAAAGTCTTTAAGAAAAGACTGACAACCATTTGTCCTGGATGAAATGAGGATTTCTGCCATGGGCAGAGAATTGGACCGGAAGAACTCCAAGGTTCCTTCTCATCCTATTATATGTCACCCTCTTCTTTAAATAGAATTCCAAACCAGCTGGAATTAGAGCCAGCAATAAAAGCTTGTTTCTGATATATTTCATCCTGTTGCTCAGAAACAGGAAACAAGGCCCGGTGCCTAACTCATAAAAGGAAGACATTTTAACACTGACTCAACAAATCTGGCCTAATAAAAAATGAAGTTATTGCTGGGAGAAGCACAAAAACACCTTCCATAAAAAGAGGAGACATTTTATCGTCGTAGCAAGGAAGAGGACGAATGCCTTACTCAGCACTGCAAAGCTTCTGCCAGGCTTCGTGATATCGAACTGGTTCTTCTTGTAATGTAACCGGTTCCAAATTAGCAGAATCAATATACTGGAGAGAAAGAAAGAAAGAAAAAAAGATTGTCTCATGTTAGGCCTTGAATGTCAAGGTTTGCTGATCATTGCCTTGATTTTTCTACTAACTGACAAAATAGAAACCAAATGATAGCTTTGATATATATTTTTCTTTTGAAAAAAACTCTGTTCCAAGTTATAGTTTATAGTTATAGTTTTATTGATTTGTATGCCGCCCACTCCCGAAGGACTCCGGGCGGCTTACAATAAAACAAGGGAGGGGGAATAATACACAAACAACATTAAAATATACAACAGTCACAATCTCCGGGGGCCTGGATATTTCGAGAGCCCCCCGGCCTGCTGGAGCAGCCAGGACTTAACAGCTTTGCAGAAGGCCGGGAGGGTAGTAAGGGTCCGGATCTCCACGGGGAGATCGTTCCAGAGGGCTGGCGCTGCAACAGAGAAGGCTCTCCCCCGGGGAGTCGCCAGCCGAGGTTGGCTGGCAGATGGGATCCGGAAGAGACCTAATCTGTGTGATCGAATCGGTCTATAGACCCGTGATGGCAAACCTATGCCAAGGGTGCCACAAGGGGCACATAGAGTCCTCTCTGGGTGAACATGAGCCGTCACTCCAGCTCAGCTCTACTGTACATGCACCTCCCGCTGGTCAGCGGATTTTCAGGTCTCTGCCTTGCATGCGTGAGGGAGGGGGTTGCGCGTGCATGCTCAGAAGGCAAGGGGAGCGAAGGGGGCTTGCCCTCCTTACGCCTCAATTTTGGTCCCAGGAGGCTTCAGGAAGGCCTGCTAGGCCCAAAACAGAGAGCAAGGGCGGGGGGGGGGGTGTCACATGTGCATGCAATCAACGTTCTTAAAGAACCTTCGGTCTTCTTTGGAGGAACAGAAGAAATTCCATATGCCAATCTTTAACTTTTCGCTCTCAAGACCTTCTCACTTTTAAAAATCATGAAGGGTCCCAAAAGAGCATTTGTTTGTGTAGGTTACATTGATTAATACTGTATTAAAATTAACACATAGAATATTTATTGAGTCATATAAAAATAATATTAAACATATTAACATAAAACTTTTCGTGAAAAACTGTTTTAACAAATAAAAAAATAATAAGATATATTTTACATTTCTAGGAATATCTTCCATATCTGGCAAATAGTTTTTATTTCGTGCATCCGGGAGGATCTTGAGCAGCGGTGTCAAACTCAAGGCCCGGGGGCCGAATCCAGCCCACAGGGTGCTTAGATCTGGCCTGTAGGGTTGCCTTGGAAACAACGAAGGACCGGTGCCTCCGCCAGTGAAAACGGAGCTCAGGAGGGCTACACGTGGCTCACCCAAGCTCCGTTTTCAGCTGCGATGGCCTCCTGCAACCCTATGCCAGTGAAAACAGAGCTCAGGAGTGATCAGCAAGCAATCAGGCCGCCACAAGCACCCGACACGAATGACGGCGAGCTGGCCACGCCCACCCTGGCCACATACACACACACACTGAGGTCAAACACAACCCTGATGCAGCTCTCAATGAAATAGAGTTTGACACCCCGGTCTTGAGGGACCCTCAGAAGTCCCTGAACCACACTAAGAAATGCTGGTGTATTCTGCCTTTTGATCCATTTTCCCCATTGTGTTTATTATAGCTATGGAAAAGTGTACAGTAGCCAATTGGGGCACTGACACAATATCAACATCCCAAAGATTCTCTTACACATTGTGACCCAATGCTGGCATCATTGTTATCACATTAATAAGCTCCATCATTTCTAACATTGCTGGACTGTATGCGGTGGGCTGGTTTTTGTCGTTGTTGGTAAACGTAGTAGAATTTGTGCCAGTAATAGCATTTTAGGTGCCATAGGAATATCCACTCAGGGCAGACACCCATATAGATTTTAAGTTTCAAACGAAACCAAGCAAGGAAAAAAATATTTTTGGGGAGGTAGTCAGTGGAAAAAGCATACCCTTATCTCGAGTTTGTGATTGATTGCTAGAGCAGAATGTTCCAAGGCTTTAATGACAGAGGCATATGAATCTGAAAACTTTGTATATTTGCCAACCAGGGCAATAGAACAGGTCTCCAATAAGCGATCGTATCTGTGTGAAAAACCAAAAGCACGTATTTAAAAAGTGAATATCAAAAAGTTTGGAATGAGAAAGCCAATATTAACATTATAATCTCACAAGACAATTTACTGGTTAATATGCTGGACTAGAAATAGGGGACACTCCTGGGGAGGAAAGCTATGGCAAATCTAGACAGCATACTAAAAAGCAGAGACATCACCCTGCCAACAAAAGATTAGAAAAATTATAAATTTC